GAAGTGCATAACAATGAACTCTGCACCGTATAAAGGTTCTTCGAAAAATATGTTTTGGAAGCACCTCATTACGTTGTCTGGAAAACACTGCAGGACCTTCAGCTTGCAAGTATCCTTCAGAGTCGTACCTCTGAGACAGAACATCGAAAAAGGAGTCAGTGAGCAAACAGTTGTTTAGGGGTATGTTCGAGTGTATCATACGGTGGAATAATGTTTACTTGGTGACAGTCATATTCTCGGTTCAAGATCAGTTAGTGGGAACAGAGGTTAGAGGATGCGTAATCATTTGTGTGTATAAAAGCGCTTCTTATGTTATTTGATGCGACGTTTGTCCCGCTGACACGTCATGTGTCGTCTTGCGGTTCACACTAGACTATGATGATTGAAGATTTCGTTATTTGAGTTCTCCCAGTGAAGCAATAAGTGAGCTTCGCTGACAACTGCTTCGTACAGCAGATGATCTTCGGTTTACGAAGAAGATTACTGGCAACCTGAACCAAACCCGCGAGAATAAACTTCCCCAGAAATCCACAAATACGAAATCCTACAAAATTAGATCTTATCAAATTTTACAAGTCCAGTTTTTGTGTGATCCGACCAATAAATGGATCCTTTTAATTTTAACACATGTTTTATCGCTCATTGTCGCATTCCTTTTATTTTACTTCACATTCTCGTTTACAGCGGACCTAACAGCGTTCGGTGAGTTTTTGATGCATTTGAGCAAGAAAATATATAAAAGATAAATTGTGGTTATAAAGATAGCGTGCATTTGTTTGAGATGACCGCATTTACGGTGATAAATTCTTAATGAGGAATTGTCCCGTGGCACCGTTACGCGGCTCCAATATTGATTTGTAATGCTGCCATCTGTGTTGCAACTTACCGGAGTCTTGCTCACAGCTTTGCAATCATCCAGCGGAGTTTAAACGTCGACCCTGCTCTTCCGTTTTGGCTTCACCACGGCGGCTCGGGTTCCATCCCCAGTTCTTTTCGTTGTTCACCCCGTCAACTTTGGCAACTTCACAGAGCCTAAACCAGAATTTAGGAATATCGAATGAGTATTACTAAATCGATCTGATTTCGTCTGGACAAATAAGCCGGGGTTACCTAACTCGTTAAACTACAATCTCTTTTAAGAAAGGAATTCATGTTCTTTTATCGACTTCGTTCACAAAATGCTGCGCAAAACCACCAAATCTATTTTTCCCATGATATATTCATCGTATTACAGTTGTATTTTGGAAGGCATCCCACCTATTCAGTATAAGGCATAATGTTGCAGCTGGGCGGTCGTGGCTGTGGTACCGTCACCAAATATCACTTAGGAGTACGTGTGTTTGACTAACGCTACCATAGCTCATGTCTCCATTATGTGTACTGTATAGCAGCCCTTTGGTTGGCTCCTTACCCCTTCATGAAAAGTGTGCCTTTGTATATTCAATAAAAAGAAGTAAAAATCCAAATCAAACACAGATATTTGCTAGACAAGTGCCCAGTTCCTATATTATTAAACGTGACTTAAAAGCATAATACTAGCTACCATGACAAGGTAAAGAGGTAGAACATTTTAAAACGCCTTGATATGTTGACACCTGTCTTGCCTACCAATTGGAATCAACCACGTGTGACGCGCCTCCAAACCAGTTTATTTTGCTGCCATAACATTCGTTGTATGCTGTCCGGTATCTGGCACCCATGCGACAATATCGCAACAGCGCAAAGATAGTCTATGGAGTTACATCTCCGACTAGGTACAAACAACACGCATTTCCATTACCGAATTCAGACTTCAGACCTGTTTTACAGGATAAATCTATTGGCCAACTAACGATATCCGAAACGGTAATCAGCATAAAGCATCGGACGACGAGGATATACACAAATTTATTCGATACTACCCAACTAAAACTTCGTATGAAAAAATCCCGTTTTCCGTCTACTCCTTTCTTTTAGTCTATGTAATTCGCATGAAAGTAACACCGGATGATTGGACAGGAAATTTGTCCTCGGGGATGGATGTGTATTCAGTTTTGGACCCTTTGTGCGGTCATGTAAGTCAAATGCACTCATTATATTCCCCGAAAACAGTACTCATATTAGTCGTGAATGGTATGATCTCATATGAGTTTTTTATAGCAAATGAGATAATCGAAATTTCAGTTTGGTTCCAGACCATGTATCCCTCCTGGAGGATCGTTGTCAACGAAGGTTACCGAGTAGCTGAGCACTGACCTATAGTTATGCCAATCAAACAGAACTGTTTGTCAAAGTTATTTGCACATTATAGCCTGAAGATAGTTTCGATTTTCTGGAGGTATAAATATCATATTTCTCACCTGTTGAACCCAGAATGCGTGTATGGCATCTGAGGTTAGAATGACCCTTGTAACAAAGACTATATTCCGTGATTTACTCTTTGGGGAATACTAGCTGATTGCCCATAGCCAAGCCGGTGAATTATATTGGAGAATGTACAGTTGGAGCCTTCGACTAACCAAAGCATGCAGGAAATATGTGCTTACTGTCACCACCAGTTGAATTGCCAGATATACACTGACGTTTAGTCGTAATGAGACATAGCACAAGGAGCAAAGAAAGAGTGGCCAGTCACAAAAGACACCCGCTCTCGATCACGGCAGCCATGCAGAGGCTGATTCAATGGTGAACGAACAATGTTAGCCGAAGGAGGCATTGCGCTCTGAAGGCATTGAAATGGGGTTTTCAAATTGTTTTTCATAAGAAAACCACGACGAAATATCAAAATACGTTTTTGGTTGAAAAATAAAAATATATTCATCCGAAGAAGTAATGTTACAATTGTTGCACATCGAATACAGTTTTCATTACCGGTTTAATGAATACTTGCTTTTGAAACCATCGTATACCAAGTTTTGCTATTGCCGGACATTGGTGTGCTAATCGCATGGCTAAAAACATTGTACGCGCTGAATCATCAATGACCGTTTAACATTAAGCTTTGTAGTACAGGATAAGACATCAAAATTCAGGTGAAATTCCTTTCAATAACAATCTAGGGGCACGAAATCTTATGAAAAACTAAATGTGAACCTAATGTAAACTGTTATCTCTGTTTCTGTCCACGATATCAGCTGTTCGATGCAACAAAAACGGTTTCGCGAACACTGAACAGACACATACTTGGATGCACAAGCCAGAAGGAGGAAGAGGGAATTAGCGAGTTCAGGGTATACATAAACGCAAAATCAATTGCATTAAACGTGTCCGACCAGTTGCAGTGTCGGAAGGAAGCGTGGCAATCATTACTGGATAAATGGACATCGGCGCTGATGAAGCACTTCAATTTGGACTCAGATATGATCTCAATACAAGGTAACTGTTATTAACGTTCAAAGCACAAATTTCATTTATGCGTAGCCAAATGAGATAGAGGCTTAGTTGTGCACTGCATAATCTGTCCAGCGAAAGACGAAGGGCTTTACAGAACTTATTCAGTGATCTTTGTAATGGAGTAGATGGGCAATGCACCGCAGTTGTAAGTATAAATCATGTGGTATTATGTTCCGCTACCCCAAATATGAACTTCACCACGGCTAGGCATTGAAGCGAAATGTATTTTTCGAAATAGGCATTGCAGATAACTGCAGATAAATTCATCATTCAAACTCTGTTCCTGCTCATTTGACAGAAATCGCTGGAGTAGTCCGTGTACAAGGTGAGTCACACTTGCACCTACTCAAATGTATACTTTTCTCACGTTTGCACTGGTGAGACTCACAAGTGATGACCGTCTTTTTAGTCATGTAAGTTCACAGTTGCCGACTCTTTTTCATCAAAACAGAAGTGAAATTTAGAACGCAATTAACACACTTATCAAATCAGGTATCACGCTCTTTGAGTGGATTCAAGCCGTTTACGGAATGAACGCCTCAAATGAAAGCGACTAAGTTGCCTAATTTGCTAATGCAATGCTACCCTCTAGAGCGTAGTCACAAAACGCGATTGCACTCTGCTTTCTACCAACCCATTTATCCATTGCACGTCCATCCCGGAATCTCCTTTCCTACCTTGACAGAAACGGGTCACAGATTCTCCTGGAACGCTTCAGTTGGGTTGGCATGTGCCTATATTACGAGTTGTTTGTGGAATTTCAACCGAGGTTACCGTAATGATTTGACCGGCTTTCTTTGCGGTTGATTATTCACGATAGACTTCGAAAACTTCTTTAGTATCCCTTGACAGTACACTATTGGTGTTTTTATTTCATAGGATCGGTCTTATTTGGACGGTCACTCCGAAGAACTTTCTAGAAACTGAGCAATAAAGCATAGGTTAATAGTTACACAAAATGGTTGCCTTGTAGTCCCATATGGTTTCAAAGCCAATAATACAAAATTGATATGCCAATACAAAAGCCGCCAGCTTTTACATTCTGACGGTGATCCCATATTCTATTTTTATTATTTCTGTTACGAAATTTTGATTGCGTCAGTCACATGGTGTTTGGGTCTGTGGTTGCATTTGTGGCTAACCTGTTCGTGATCCAAAGAATACCCAGGGCACCTGTTTTCCAACAAATCAGATGCTTGAGCCCCGCGGAATTTCAATTAATCCCATTCTTTCTTATTGGCACACGGGTCAAGTTAGTTCAGTTTATTGCCGAATTTTACCACATTCAATATTCCAGCTCGGCGATTTGAAGGGCACCTACACGGGATCGACGAAAAGCAATCTTCAGGGAATGATCGGTGGACCGAACCTCGAAAACTGATGATCAAACAATTTGTGAGTCACCAGATTTGATGTGATGCAACAGAGTTGCTTCTGTTTGAAGACCGCATGCAATCCACGCAATACTTCATTGTTTTTGCAAATTCGAACCATGCTTCAGTAATCACTACTGCAAATGGTTCACAGCTTGAGAGATGTTTTATTGGTTGCCATGTATCCCTCTACAGATACTGGACTACTTGGCTAAATCAGATTTCAGTTCTCACCTGATCAATGTACTGGCAAACACCAGAGTCCTAAGGCCATACATGTACACAGATATTCAACTGATATACTACATGGGCGAGGACAAGTTTGAAATATTGCCAAAAACAAGAGAGATTGTCAATGATTTGTCCAGTTTCACCAACAACTACAGTGGGTCTGTGAAGCTGGTGGGGTTTCAATCTAAAAGTGAGTTCTCACCGCGTTTGCGTAAGATAAAACACTGTCTGTTCGATGCTTGCTATTTTTGCTCACGAAAACTGTTCATATACATTGCCCATTATATGCGTTACCATCGTGCTACATGCGCTAAAGTTTAACCGGAAGGTAAACATGCCTAGGATGAATAAGTAGAAACATGTTGGACTGAACGTTCAAATACCGGAGCACATAAATGTAACGAGGCGAATAGAAGCGGAGCAAACTAGAATGGCTTGTTTAATAAAAAATAAACCAGTACAAAACGAATGAAATTCGAAAGTGATTGTGGAATGTTAATTCTCAGAGAGAGGTTCATATCAACAACGTCCTAGCAGGATATGCTACCTAAATTGGCTTTTATAAAGGTGAATCAGATGAATGAGCGATCAACGTGGAAGAGCGAACCTGGGTGAATAACATGACCATCGCAACTGCATCATGAACAAATACAGTCAAGCCCAAAACGGCTAATGGAAACCGCATCATCGGTCAACGTGAGCCTTAAAAGTTCGCATGCCAATCCAGATTGCAGTGCCCAACAACTGTCGTGATACTGCGCTTGCTGGTCAGCCATCATCTCAAAGTGTCAAGTAAATTTGGTCATACGCAGTGTTTCGGGTGTGCATTCGAAAAGATAAATGCAGCCTTAGAAGCTAGAATCGTTGGATCTGTCCGAGTGTTCTTGCACACTAAAACAGTATCACTGGTGATAGTAAGTATATCGAGGCAATGAGTGTAATTATTGAGGATAGAGTGAACAATGCATGACTGGAAAACGATTCTCATTTTTAAGGCAAAATTCAGAGAAACTTCCGAGGAAATTGAAAATCAGAGGTCACATTCGTCGAACAGAAATCCAACAGTCCTGATCGCTTGTTTTCATTGCTCAACATCCGTCTGCGGTTTTAATGACTGAACCTCTATATCAGTGCAGCTCACTCAGTTTACCTAACTACGGCAACCATAAATTGTGTAGGATAAATTCTCACCTCTGATCATTTCAACAATTATACTAACTAATCAGTCTACTTGTTTTTCGTTTTATTCACGGCATGTTTCTCGCTCTAGGTGCGATGTCCCCAAGTGAGCATTCCGTCACTGAAGGTTGATTTTGCCTCTCTTTGGCATATAATATTAGGAGTGGAACATGCAAATCATGACCGGTCTGTCTCTCATGATAACTTTAACTAATGCTTGCTTGACGCACACTTGTTTTCGCAAGTTTTACAATCACAGTTACTGTCGCTTTACCAATGACCAATATTTTCTTGTATAATGCACATCCATACAGTAGATACGTGTGCCATGAAAATGCGTTTCAGTTATTATACCTTTTCCGAATACTTCGTGTTTTCCAGACGAAGACGATATTCTTCTCCCCGGTTGCGCAACCGATGAAAACAAAAATGGAGGTAGGAATTTCAGCATCTAACAAACTGAGTTCTATGGGAACAATGTTTGTCCTTGCTAGATGTGTGTCAAACATCTTTGCTACATGATCCCATAAGAAGAATGTATATTAAGAAATGCTAACTTCTAGATGCCTAACACTGGTTCAAATCATATGCAAATATCATCAGGTTATTACAGCTTCAGTGAGTACAAACAATCAAATAAACAGGCAAACAGAAATGTAACATGAGATACGGAGAGTGATTTCTGGTTTCACAGGTCGCTGGTCGGGTTTCATTCCAAATTTAGAATAAACGAGAACGACTATTCGAGAGTAAATCATTTCTAAATTTGGAATATGCTAGATAGAACATATTGCATTGTGGTTCCAACAGTTCATCTCAATGAACCGTGAGTTTTCATATTATATATCCACAATGTTTATCATTATGCGCATTCATGCAGGACGAGAATAAGTAGCAACAATCAAGCAGCAAAGGTGGTTATGCTAACATTATTCCGCATATGTTCAGAACGACTTTCCCAGTGCGTTGTTCAGCCGGTTCGAAGTGTTATTGGTGCACCTCTACAGTGATAATTTGAAATAACGATCCCAGAGAAAAAATGCATTTGTGATCTTCAATTTTTGTGCATCGACTTAAACGGTTTAGAATTATGATAAACCGGAATTGGGTAATCTGGAATGTGTTCATTTAGGTACACGGAATGTTCCCACTTATCCACTGTCAACCCTGTAATTACTTGTACTTTTGATCGACTATCTCCTGCGGGAGGATGATTCGGCTTCTTGGATATCCCAAATGATGGTAGCCCATGCTTGATGATCGGTATCATGGTTGGCGCAGTGTGAAACCCAGTTCTGGTTCCAGTTACGAATTCCATATACGGATGGAAGGCCCAGTAATTATAAATCCGCCTTGATTGTACTACTACAGGTCTTCATTTGACCACCGAGTCGGCAACGCCATTCACAGCACGGTGCGAGAGTTACAGCCCCTTACGAGAGTTGAGTATCGGGCCTTCGGGGCACCAGGCCAAACCGCTGAAGATGCGGGTGTTGCAGCATTTCTGAAGGTGTCAATGTTGAAGCAAAGCCGCTGAATCTCACCATTGGAAATCAGATCTATCCAATTTACTTTCAAGATGCGGCGTAGGCACCAATGATCAAAAACTTCGAGCTTCTTTGGATCTTGTACTCTTAGCGACCAACCAAGGATTAGACGGAATAGCTTTATAAAGTTCACTGCGACGGTTGCAGCCTACAGTTGAGTAAAGCCAGAAATCATCGTAACAAAATCTGCGCGTAAATGACCCAGACACAAAAGTTGCTAGTATATGTGGTCGGTATGCAGAGTGTATCGATCAGGAGTTAGATATCAGATAGGATGTTGCCCTTATCAAAACGATTACGGTGCAAGCTCTGGTACATTCCGATCTGAGAAATCCATTATTTTGTCCCTATCTGAGCATTTTTCGTTTGTCAGCGAAGAGTTGTAACTATCAAGGCAGGTATCTAATGCAATGAAAACATCATTTTACCTTGAATTCACACTTCAGGTGATCTGAACAAAGTAGATAGTGAAGACCAAAGAACCGAATCTGATGATCGAGAGGTAGACGATAATCAGCAAACCACGGAAACAAGAGAACACATGACTACCAATGCAATCGATCATACTGAGACTGATGCCAACAGACCGGAAGGTGAGAAGCATTCAGATCAAACGAGGACAAAGAGAAGTGATTACTACTTACCTGGTAGACCAGTTTTGTGTAAAGCACGAATGCGTATCTAACATTTTATCGCGGTCAACATATTGCACAATTTGTGACTAATAGGAGAAGACGAACGTAGTCTGTACTGAACCAAAAACTAAATAAACAGAAGGAATAAAGGTTTTTTTGTAATGTGGGGAACTCACATAGTTCTTGGGAGAGGCCTCTACGTTTCTCAAACCTTTCAGTTCTATTATCATGAATGAACTTGCCTTTGAGAAGGCACTGAACTTCAGCAGAAATGTTCTGCACCACCTCCTTAGGATCGTCACACAGAACAGGTTTCATCTTGTGTGAGCAACACTGCGCTAGATCCTTTATCAGGGTGCTGACCAAAGAGAATACAGCTAGAAAGTTTCAGAAGCAATGAAGTTTCTCCCCTCAACCGTATGGATCATTAAAATTACACAACTCTAGTGTACGGCTGAGGCCTATCCTATAGACAAGGAAATCACCACAACATCAATTGGCAAAGTGGATTATGGGCGTATTACAACCATTGAGAAATTCTACGATCAAATCTACCAAGAATGAAGATTTCTTTAAGGGGAAATCAAGAGGGAGAGAGGGAAAGTTATTCAAAGTACCCGACCCGGATCCTGGTGGGAACAGCATAAGAAAACATTTTACAGGTCAAGATACAGTAATACTCTGATCGTATTGCGGTCACTATAACGTTTGGAAGGGCTGTGTGCAAAGAGGAGAAACAAAACAAGTTGGCGTTGTCGTCATCACAGTGTTAGTGTGGTTGAAAAGATTGTCGTTGAAGCCGGACGGTGTTTACTTGCTGAGGTCGACTGATGTCACGACAGAGGAGCCGAGGATAACGCAGCTATAGACATTTTTAGGTTTTGATCATAATGAGACACATTCATTTATCCTTGATGAGTTGATTTCAGTCAACCATTAGTTTGAGAGGAGAGCCAGCCAAGTAACCCCCAAAGACGAATTTGCTTTGTGAACTCTCAATATGCCCCCTGATTTCAGATAGAAATGTCACTCGTTTGACAGAGACAAATCCTTCCAAACTGCCAGAGGTGGACGATGTGGGGTGATGTTTGCTAGAGCTTTTGTGGTTTCCTGTTCTGGGAATAGGAACAATCACGAACAAAGTGCAATGACACGGTAAACGGTAGAATAGATGGCGTAAGGGCATTAAAAGCGGGAAGTCTTCCGGAGAAAGTTTTGAGAATGTTGGCGGAGAAACCTCTCAGCTCTGGGTGGCTGTACATTACCAAAAACGCACAACCTAACAAATCCATTTGGTGCTAAGTTAAGGAGTACAAGGTGACTAAATCAAGGCATCGGAGGAGGAGTTACAGAAACTGTGAACAATGCAAAACTGAATGCGATCCGTATACTGGCGTACTAAAAAAATTGATTGCTGTGTAAGGTTACCGATATCTTATACAAGTTTGTAGAAGACGAAATGAAATATTACTTTCCTGTAAGCAGAATACATGTCTGGTGTTTCTGTGTGGTGAATCTGTTGATTAAAAAACGACTCCATTTTGAAAAAACATCATTGACGTTAAGGACACAATGGAAAATGTTGGAAATGCAGAAAGTTTATTTTAAGGACAAAGACAAAGATAATGGTCTAGTTGACTAAACTATGGCATCAAAATAACGCTCTTATTGGCTAAATCATCGGGGAAGGTATAGAAAATTGGTCAATAAATATCTATTTTCCGGTTAATCAACTGGCCAGATTGGAGACGATCACTCGCTAAGATGACCAAAACAGTCAAAGTTGTCTCTTTTTGACAGATCGATCACGAATATGTTGATTTTATGAAAACGGTGTATTTTTCGGCTCAGTGTCCTTAAAGTCAGAGTCTTACCGAAGAGTATCGACCAATGCATGTCCTCGATGTTGTATTGTCGTTTGATACCTTAACTACAGTTTCGAGGACCTTGACAAAAAAGTGCTCAAAATTAATACACTGAAAGTTGTAGTCAGCATACTGGAGGAAACGAGAAACGAAGAAATTGATGGTCAGAAACTGAAACATTCTGCATCAGCCATATCAGCTGAAATATGCGACAGCGAAATTCACAATGGAGTACCAGGTATACGGGGAACAGAGAGGTAATACATTCAGTTAAACAAATATAGAGTGGTGTTTGATGAAAAGAAGATTCATCCTTTATTCAGAAAAAGCAATTAGAAAGGAACTCGGAGATATTTGTTCATGAGACAAATGTTGCACTTATACGCACAAAGTTCGACCGTGAATGAGAGCGGGCTGGTGGATATGATGTTTAAGTTAAAATTAGCTAACAAAGTCAAGTCAAGAAAACCTTTATGCACCCAAGGGGTGAATTTTCATTGTTAGGTTGTAAGCGATCGAAGGACTGGTAGATCACATTAGATGACAATCTATGTCTTATCTGACACTCATTTAGGATGATGATATCTGCTGAATTTTGACACTCAATCTCAACGCAGATTGGATTTTGACTCATATAATTTGATCACTGTNNNTGGTGAGTTTCTATGCCCTTTCATTCAGATCACCTAGCAAATAAAATAAGTTTCCAATCACCTAGGATATCTTGTTCACAAAAGGCCTAAATTGCGACTTAGTGTGTAGTTTGAAGCTCATTGCAATAAATGTTGTGTTGTTACGTTGCTCCCACACCACATCCGCGCTGGTTGCGTTTGCAATTCATCAAAGGAGACCCAAAAGGAATCAATTGTATCTCTCTTTCATCCCTGGTCATCCGGAATGAATATCGTATGATGTTCTTAAGAACAATTCTGGGTAGCTGTCACTATAGATTCACTTCCTTTTTATGTTTTATCGAATAAACAGTAACAGGAAAGATCTGAGATGGTCTAGATAGTTCCATCCATGACTAAGTANCATCCATGACTAAGTAAGGACTATCACAAATATTGATTCCTCAACTCAAACTCAGGTACCTGTTTTGAATTAACTATTTTATAACAGAAATCTGTCGTCTCAATAGCAACACATCTGAAATCATGAGCAACTTTAAACTTCGATCGACAGGAACTTTGCAAAAGGTTGCACAAATCATGTGGAATCACCCACTGCTTGATCAGACATTTTTCTTATAAAAGATACTTGAAATTTGCTCTCTTTTGGTCAGTTTACGAAATTCGAATGCACCACATACCAAAGAATTGGACTGAAAATGTGCCCTCAGGAACAGACATCTTCTCTGTGTTGAACCCTTTGTGTAGTCAGGCAAGTTTCCAATTTTCACGCTCAATTATGATAAGTAAGAAAATACCTGTTTCACTTTGAATGGCGCCTGTATACGTGGTCCATGTTGCAACTTCAATTGGGAAGTCTTTCAGACAGCTCAAAAAACGCAATTCGGTTTAGGCTTTTTATTGTGTGTTATTCCTATCTCGCCCCAAGATTCTTTGCGAACCCTGGTATCAAAGCAGATGGAAGTAATTTTCAGTTGGAGTTGTTCCCTGTGAGATAAAGTTAACGGGGAACGGATCTGCTTCAACTTCTCACTGTAATATCTGATTTCCACAGCCAGCATACGTGTAGACCAAACACCGAATTGTACATATTCAGTCTTTTGATCAGAAAAGTTTGATCCAATTCCCCCGTGGACGGATAAAACCAGAGATAGAGCTTAGTTAGCAAGGCACTTTTCATCTAGTTTAAATATTTGAATAACGTGATGTTCCGCTCTACTCGCATTTTCAGTTGAATATCGCAACTCGAAAGGTATCCACATCTCTGATAAACTACAGTTTAGGGTGTACCAGCCGACAGGTTGATGCGAGAATCACTGAGTTCAAAGTATTTATCAACGCGAAAGCAATTGCACTGAACGTGTCTGACCAGCTGCGGTGTCGGACAAAAGCATGGAAATCATTACTGAAGCAATGGAAAGCGGGACTGACCGAGCACTTCCAACTGCGTTCGGATTCCATCGAGATACGAGGTAAGTGTGTTTCACTTCCCCTATCCAAATACCATTCGTGTGGAAAATCATAAACTGAGAGCTTAATTGAGCGTTAAACAGTTCGCTTCAGGACACACTGAGAATTTGACCAGTCATTTGCTTTGATTAATTTAAGTGGATCAGATTAACGACGCACCGAGATGTGAATCGTGAACTATTCTGCATTCGTACCCTCACATTGACGCGTTCACCTAGCTAAATTAAGGGGAAACTCCAGTGCTGCAAAGCACACATTTGAGAACCATTTTTTGTATCGATCTTTCGAGCACTGAAACTCTGTTCATGATCTATTTTACAGAACTCACTGGAGTGGTGCCTGTACAAAGTAAGTGATAGTGCTCTTGCACTGGAGTAGATCTTTGGTGAATACTCTAAATTAGGTCGTGCGGAGTTTGAAACTGCCTTTCGCCTTGTTATGGAGGGTGAGCCAAGTGCCGAGATTTTCGTCTCTGACTGGATGAACTTCTAACGAGAGACTTATGCTCAGAATGTCCATGAAAGTAGTCAGCAAGCCTTGCGCTTCAGTTCAGATATAGAACATTCTAACAGCTACCGGTGAATTACTGTACTGTCTCACTAAATTCAATACGCTGTATTATTGTAAAGAAAGCATATCCATACAGCAACGTCAAAGGGTGGAATTGAATCAGTTGATGGCGCTTGACATTTGAGTAACCGTGATGCTTCAGCAGATAACCAGATAAAATGTTCTCTCTCTATCTGAGCAAGGAAAACAGGAACGACGGGTTTTCTACCAGCCTATTACTAATCTCGCAACTGGACTAGTACCTCCGAGAAGAAGTACACGTACACTTTCGCATGCTCATGGATAGACTGTCTGCACAACCATAGACAACGCCAACCGCTCCCGTGTAACAATCAGTGCGTAGGTTCTCTTTGTGTGCCATTTACCAAATGTATCTTTGGATGGTTGTTTGGGAAACTCATGAAGCGAAATAGAAGAAAAAATTATCCGACACGTTGAAGACAAGTCTTTTATATCAAAAGAGTATTGTTTCACAAATCGTTTGAAATACGAAATCATTCCGGATGCAGACCACTTTTCAGAGAGGTTTTGGTTGTTTTCTGATGGTACCACCTCGTCTCTCCGAAGAATGATGACCTAGTAGTTTGGGGAACTCACGTTTTTCTTCGATTCGCAGATGAAACAAAAAATGCAAAGCAGAAAGTATACGACTAAAAATAGATCAGCACGTGCTCACATTTTGGTCGTTTCAAAAGAAACCATGAACTATGATTTCTGTGTAAACGAGACGCGATAGAAACCACCTGAATGAACACAAAAAAGAATCTCTGTGTGAGCGTACTGAGTCAAGCAACGTTGGAAATTTTCTCAGTTCAAATCACGCTCGAATTTGGCAAAATTTCAGTTTCTCGACGACCGTTTTAGTTCATCTCTAGTCATCTTTCAATCCATCTTCCTGATTCTTAATCACAGCACGAACCATTGATGGAGATTTATATGAAAATAAGGTGTTGGTAAACCGGATGTCTAGCACGTGGACAGAAGCTCGAAAAATGATGATCAAACAATTTGTGAGTCACAAAAATCTGTTTACTGCGATACAAAAACCAATTAACGTGTTTCTTCCCTCATTTGATTAGGAAACCGCTTATATGCACGCAGTGTTTGCGCATTTTGGTTGATTTTGATGGGTGCTGAATACCATTCCGAAGTAAATGAGAATATTCTGATTTCTGCATACTTCTTTCCAGATTTTAGACTACTTGGATGAATACGATACGGGTTCACACTTGATTGGTGCAATCATCAACTACATAATGGGTGGATTGACTCTATATGCGGAAGTTAAGCTGACGTACTATTTGGATGTGGATGGATTTAAACGGCTTCCGACCGCAGAACAGATGGTCCAACAGCTGAAGAGTTTTGCAAAAACGTACAAGGGGTCGGCGAGCTTAGGTGGTTTATCATTTATATGTAAGTTTACCGTATTTTCTCACCGCAAATCACGAGCTGTCAGTTTCATTTCTAATATTTATGATGATAACCTATTGCATAGGTTACCATCGTGTCACATTTTCTGGAATCTGTGATGCAAGAATAGTAGGCGTTCCCCAAAGAAATTCATCACTGACAAGAAGTCTGTGTACATATTCTTGCCATTTAAAGATGAATCCTTAGTCGAGAAAGTGCATCGAAGGCTATCAGATGCCAGCAATAAAACGTTATAAAGATGTGTTTTACAGGTTATAGATAATTGAATGACCGAGTTGGAAGGGTGGGTGCTGCACATCGATCAACAAGATCATTTTAAGTACATCATCAAAGCGTTTTCCATGCGTCAGACTGCTTATAAGTACTGCCTCAAGTAAACTGAGCACCCTTTGATGAGGCTACTAAAACAATTGAGTCTCTCGTGTGCAACAATTGTCGTGTTTCTGAGTTTGCTCCTTTTTTGATGTCTCAAATGACCTAGTTAATTTGGACAAACTCACTCCCTCTGTTTGACGGACAGCGTTCAGTCCTCCTGGCACACTAAGAAACGCAAATGGACTGGGAGCTATGAATGCATCTGCAATTCACGGATTCGTTGAATGTGTCCAGGCTTGATTACCCCCGTATATGAAATCAATTTTAAACCATGATCATTGGTGACAGTAGAAGTGGAGTGACAAAGGTTTCCGCTGCACATCTCTGAATGTGTTCCAGGTCTGCATTCAAACAGTGAATTGCTAATACTCAGAGCTTGCGGCTAAAATGGACTTCAATGGGGAAATAGGTCGCGGAAGATCAGTTTTCTCATTCAAGTTTTTTGGGGACTTGTTTTCTTCATTTCACTCAACCATTTCTCCTTTTACTCGTTTCTCTCCTTCTAGATTCGTCACCCACAGGTGAGTGGGCATTCAATATATGTACCGGTTATCCGTTCCTACTGATGATATCGAAATAATTTTTCGACAACAGGAAAACATACCTGTCCCCCAACTCAGTAAAGTCGACTAAAATTAATCACTACGAGGAATATTTCAAAACGCAAAAGTGTACTCAACTATTTTGCTGAAGATGCGAATGATATGGTCAGTGGAGGTTTACTTTTTGTGATGTGACAGTGGTGAAATTGAATTCCCATGCGAGTACCTCTTCGCTCTGTAAAGTTTTTCTCGAATTCCCTATATTTTACAGATGATCGAGCGACTGTGTTCACGGACTGTGCCATGAATGCGAGCGAAGCTGAATGTAAGCACATCTGCAACCCACAGACACTGAGCTCTAAAATCGCAGTCATTTAAATTTGTTACACGTCTGCGGCAGTGTTTCTTAGACAAATGCATTCGGTAGTAACAATAATCGAGCACACAGTAACAAATACATATTTCATGCAACCACCTACCTTTACCATGTCCATGAATGAAAGAAGAAGCATCATGATCACAGGGTCTGTTGAATCCAACTAATTCGTGGTAATCTCATGCAGATCTGAGTATGGTAAAATCTCTTTACCATTTTCAATGGTGCAAGAGGATCATGATCACTGGATGTGTTCAATTCATGTACTCCGTGGTAATCTCATGCATGTCTGTGTACGAGAAGAACTTACAGCCCAAATTCGAAGAGTGGTACGAAAAATGTATCAGTTGTTAACAATTTTATCGAGTAACAACAAACGCAAACGAAATACTCAGTGGAAGAGTTGTCACATTTTTACTTAAGTGTACTGCAAGCGATTTTTGATAAGATCGTTTAACTACTCATAAGTAGGTTTCTCTACTTTTCGCGGTATGCCATTTGCTCAAAATGACAGTCAGCAATCCATATATTTCCTAAACCACTTTGTCACTTTCACTGATCAGAGTGCGGACGTAAAACAAGTTGCACAATGCAACTATCTCGTTTACGTCATTGGTGTCCTTTCTTATATGATACACTTATATCCTAATAGAGCGTTATTTTCAAACAATGAATAACAATGCAATGAGGGCTGCGCAGAGATAACAGTGGCTTCAAGATGAAGACACTGCTCAGGGCCAACGTATTAAGAAATTCCTCCTTCCGAGGTTTTGCATAATGAACAGTGTTCAGAGTCAAAAGCAAAAATTATTACATTTATTGTTTTGGGAATGACTGTTGCATTTTGTGTTCTTCAGTGCCTAATAATTTCACTGGTTGTTGTTTGACGGTGAGAGTTTGAGATCAGTTATGAAATCACAAGCCTAACGGAATGTTACGGAGCTGCGATAATTGAAACTGACCGTGTGAAATCCGGATGTAAATTACGGATAGATTGAACCGGTTTCCTCTCTCTCAATGATGATACAGCGTCATCATTATATAAACTACACAACAATACAGGACAACCATTCTATGGTAATTAATTTAATACTTATTAATTACCTTGGTAGTACTCACCTGCAAGGTATATTACTAGAGAGAAACAAATGAATTCCAAATTGAGATCCTTCACTGTCCGTTCGCTCAAACCGCATGTTGACATCGGTCAGTTTATCTGAGTGTTTTTCTAATTAAATACTACTAACCACGACAGACTCATATTTCCTTAAATTTACACTTTAGATGATATAAACGAACGGGGTACCGGAGACCGGAAAGCAGACTCCGACGGCTCAAAGGACGAAGACACTCACAAGACCACGAAATCAGAACATGACATGAACAGCGTAAAGGACGAACATATCCAAGCAGATTTGAATGACAATAAAATTGGAGACAAACCGAAGGGTGAGAAGTTACGAGATCAGATGAATAAAAATAGTAGTCTTTGTCATGTTTTAACAAACGTTACCATGCCAAATAGCTTTGATGATCGGTGTTTATAAATCCGAGTAAGTTGAGTCATTGTAGGCTGGAGGATTTCTGACAAAAATTACAAGATCATTGTAGAATCCTGTGGAATACTAAGTAACTGTTGGGTTCTTTGGTCCAATAACCTAGACAATGGCAAGGGCGAGAAAAGCCATCAGGGAATGAACCAATTAAGTGTTGGTTTGCAACGGATTGGGAGCTACTTCTTTAAATGAATATAGATTGATGTGAACATCCAGAGCGTGTGTATAGTGTGTTCTAGATTCAGTATATTGTGAATCCGGCGGTCAGCGAAAACTCAGCACAGGTATGGTAAGCAGAAGTAGGTGCATACGGGACTATTTGGGCGTAGAGTTGAGATAGGGAGAACGGCTGATGGGCTGCTTGATAGAAAAACGAACGAGGTGGCAGGTCAGTACAGTATGTCTTTACTGTTATTTAGCAACTATGAATGAATGCAAAATGCCAGATTTTGAGAAAATGCAAGCACTCCGGAGTGCGATGTACACGTATTGGTTAAACCAATCAAAGTTGAGTACGAACAACCACGTGGTGAAATTTTGGGTAGATGGTGCAGCGCATTATAGCACGACTGAATGGATACGGACCACGGCAATATGAAACAAATCTTAGAAGAGGAGTGTAAGTGACCATGCGAGGAAATAAATTGAAGCTATGCACCGGGTCCCGTTCAATCCCTTGGCTGATTCCATACTGTTATGACTGTCAGATCTGGGAGTTGCGTAGCTTGTTTTACTCTGTCTTAGATCGGTTGGTATTCTACAATGCATGATAGATTGCCTAAGTAACATACTCATAATAGTTCTATGGTGTACTATGAGAGTTTGTGTTTGGTAATGAACAGGGTCAAACACATCGCCTCTCCAATCGCCTCCCCTTGTTCGATGAACCAAAGGTGAAAATAAATCAACACTTTGAGTGCAGCAATTGACACAGATTGAGCGCAAATGCTCATCTGGCCAGGATTATTCGAATAAAGTGACGGTGCTCCGAGACGAGTAAGCAAGCGGGCTAATGCACGTGCGTTTGAAAGAGACAGGTTTCGAGAAAATGCGATCAGAAGGTTTGCAAAGACTGATTAGTCTGCTGGTTGGTCCAAATACGACACTGTGGCAGCTTTTGTATGCACAAATTCAAATTTTCTGATGGAGCCTCAATGGGTTTGTGATGTTCACACGTCAATGAAATACGCTAAAGAGGTCAAACTGTTGTACCAAGTGGTAGGGGAAGGTAGAACTGCAGGAGCTAGTTTGTTGCTTGTGCTTTTAAATAATGACAAGTTTGGAAGGGAATATGACAAGTTGTATATGCTCATGGTGGCTGGACCATGTAGTGAAGCTAGAAATTATCGCAATAAAATCTAAACGTAAGTTGACCCAGAGACAAACTTCATTGACAGAAGAGTTCAATTTACACAGTATGTTGTTCTGGACTGTACAAAACACCTTAGCTATTACCTTAATGGAACCGATAGTACAGTGATTGAATCCATGCATGGTCTTTTAGAGCTGTAAACCGAGATTCTGGCCAAAAATGCTACAAAATCCAGTGACCAATAAAGGAATCAATTATAACGTGACTTTATTTGGGAATTCACAGACCACTAATTACACCACGTAGGTGGTCAGAACATAGGGTTTCTTAAGTTACGAAATTCGTTAACGGAAAGAATGAC